AATAAATTTAGTTACTTAAAAAATGGTCGATAATTCAGCAGTGTCAATTATTCATTGTTTTAGTTCGTAAGTTTTAAGTTTTGACAGTTTTGACAGACATGTGTTTTTTTTTCAAACGTTTGAAAAGTATTAATTTTTGCGACGTGATTGACAACATATAAAAGTCATTTTAACACATATCTAGGCATAAAAGTAAAGTACTTTTACGCCTAAACACAAAAGTACGAAAATTTATTATTAAGTCCCGTTGTCAGAACTTCGTATTGTTGCCAGCGACACGTCAAATGAACCAATGAGATTTGTACAAAATTCAAACAGCTTCTTAACAGCTACTTTGAATATAAATTTAAACAACTCCCATTGGTTCTTTGATGTGTCAACCACTGTCGCCAGCGACAATACGTCGTTTTGAGAACGGGGCTTTAAACTGACATAAAGTGTCAAATTCAACGAGCATAACCATAGTTTCTTGATATATAATTACTTAGAAGGCGCCTATTACTTTTTAATCTTTTTATATTATTTGGAACGTTTGAAATTGTTTAAAAAATGATTTGTGGTATTGAAATGAAAAAACTAGCATGTTCTATTCGGAGTAAAAATGATTTTTTGTGCCTCGCCTGTATGTCATGCCTAGTGAATAAACGTACAGCCTCGCCTTTAGAGGTATCATTTTTACTCTTACTAAAACAATACCGGGTGCGTCTCAAAAGTGGCTCACCCCTATATCTTTTTTATTTTTTTCTGTTAAAAAATGAGATTTGGCATGTTAGTATATGACATAAATTAGGATTGATTGACGTATTCAAATTGTTTTCGGTCACTTCCCATACAGCACATCAAATCACATTTACGATGTGTTTACATTATTAGATGTAGACACAGGGTGGCACAATTCCCCCGATGTAAATATGCTACGTTTACACATTGTAGTTCAACACGTATGCACTAGGGTTAAACGTCCGCCTCACAATGTAGCCACAGTATAGCATTTACGTATACACAAAGTAAGGGATACACAGTGTGCCGTAGGATACACAGTGCTTGTGTATTACGTTTAAACTCTGTTTACACAATGCAGTTGTGACTACCGCGTGTATACGTATGTATTTTGCTTCGTATATACATCTTGTGCTAGATAAAACTACTTCTTATGAACGAAATTAGGAAATAATACAAGTTTTGATGCCTAACTTTTCGTTCTTTTTAAGAAATATTTATTCAATGATACCAATTATATCTTTTTAGAATGAAAATTAGGAAGGCAAAACTTTGTATTTTCCAAAAGTATCTCGATCGTAAGTTCAAGAGAAGTAGCCTTAAAATTGTTCCATTTTTGTTTTGTATTAAATGTACCATTTTTCTTCCATAAAATGGATTAAGTGGTTAAAAAATAAAAAAACTTATATTTCTTTATATCATGGAACGCAATAGCGCAATTAACACAATAATAATTATTATTTACACCGCAGAAACCAGAAGTAAGAAAACACTGTAAAAGAACAGAATCTGTATCAAAATGTATTAAAAATATCAGTACCTAGTATAACAACATACTAAAATGGTAAACACTGGTATATCGCCACGATTTGGTGGACCTCGTTTAGTCATTTTTTTCTCCTCTTTTCCCTCCAAACAGTTGGTTTGTTAGCATACTCATTCATCGAGCACTTATTGAATATTAAACATATCTGTGTATATTGATCCATCAATAACTTACCGAATATCAGTGTATTCTTTGAAGTGTTTAAATCTTTCTTTCTCTGGTCCATTTAGATTTTTATTATTTCCAAATTAAAAAAAATTATATTGCAGAGCTAACCTCTTTATCATTATACGAGAATATTTTGAGTTTTCATTCATTGGAGTCAAAATTTGGTAAATTGGGTATCGAGTAAGGGAAGAGTCGCTGCTATAATATTAATAATACTCTTAGGAAGGTGTAACAAGGTAATTAAAAACTTGTGCTAACCTTAAAATCTCTTTTAAACTACACACAAACGGAACATTTATATAGAGCTTCCGAATGATAAAACAATAATGGCTGCTAACACATACCACTCCTAGAAAGGAGATAGGAGAGAGGACGGACACATAACATACACTTGGTCGGTGTATCTACGCTGAGGCTATCCGCGCGTGCGCACACCTTCATTTCATGCTAGAATGTAGACACAACAGTACACGATTACAAAGTGTCTATACAGGGTGGCCCATCGAAAACGTTTCGCAAGGCAGGGTATTTTTTTTTTCAAAAACTCCAAAATCACGTCAATTTTGTTTGTGAGGGGGACAACTTTTGCCCCAAAAATGATTGCAAAATCTTCAACCTTCTAAGCGGGGGTGTCATCCCCCAACTTTTTTCAAATGGGAAGGGGGGTCAAGTGGCGTCTCAATGAAAAGGGCTCTCTATTCTCTATATTTCCTCACTTCGTTTTTAAAAATCGGTCGAGTCATTTTTTTTTAAAAATCGGTCGAGAACATCTAGAAATAATAAGAAAAAACAGCAAATTGGTCGAAGGAATTTATCCTTATCATTTACTCTGATAAATGTTTAAATAAACTTTTCAAATTTCAATCCTTCATATTTTCTCAATGACTCGACCGATTTTCAAAAATGAAGCGGGAAAGTATAGAGAATAGACAGCCCTTTTCAATGCGGTACCACTTGCCCCAAAAATGATTTTGCAATCATTTTTGGGGCAAAAGTTGTCCCCCTCACAAACAAAATTGACGTGTTTTTGAATTTTCTGAAAAAAAAATTACTCTGGCCGTTATGCCGTGCAGAACGTTTTCGATGGGCCACCCTGTATAGATATTTATATTATGTGTATACGTTACATTTTTACAAGGTGTGTACTATAGGCACAACTATGATACGAAGTATCACACATACATATGACTTATACATTGTATGTCTCATATACCGACGTCAGACTTCATCATTTTAATAATTATTTGTTACGTTACAAAAAACTCTTTAGAATCTTGAGTGTATACGATATACAACTAGTAAACACTGTATCACACAATTCTATCAATATAAACCTGCGTATATCTCATATGTATATGTTAGAACTAGATGAACACTTAGATTCACTTTAACATGTTTTGTTTCTCATGTGTCTCCCATGTAGAAACGTAATTTCATTTGGACGTGCTGAATGGGTTCTAGTTTCACCGGAAATGACTAAAACTTTTGATTTTTAAATGGCACCCCCGGTATTTTTTTACTTTATTCGATAGGAAATGACATTCTGAATAGAATGACATATCATATGTCAACTTGTGACATTTTTGCATATGGTTTATTTGAAATTATAACTTGCGTATCGTAATGAAAATTTCCAAATCGAAATAAGTGTGTGGTGTCAAATTATTCGTAAAAAATGCTTTTTCCAAATATGCTAATGAGCCACCCTCGTTCCATTTGAGAAAAAATGAGATATGATAAAAAATACGATTTGGGCATTTTCTAACTGTCCAGGATCTTGTCCTGGAACACTAAAAACATTAGACGATCAAATCTATTTTTCTAAGGCTCCTTGATTAAGAATTAGTGTTTTTAATATAGCCATGACACTCTAGATTGAAATTTAAAATACAATTTTTTATTAAGCGAGAATGTCAAAAGTTGACATATAACATGTCATTCTATTCAGAATGTCACTTTCTGCCATTAAAAAATCAAAAGTTGTTGTCATTTCCGGGGAAACAGGAAGCGACCAAAAACAATTGAATACGTCAGTCAATCCTAATTTATATCATATACTAACACACCAAATCTTGTTTTTTGTATCTGAAAAAATAAAAAAATTATAGGGGTGAGCCACTTTTGAGACACACCCGGTATACAATTTTTGCTCTTATATCGCTAAAAAATTATGTCCGGATTTTTGGGAAGACTTGTTCGGGGTGTACAAGTTTTCATCTGGTAACCCCTAGTTTAGTCCTAAGTACCATACCTCAGATAAGACGACAAACGCAGCAGAGTTGCCCTGCTGAGATGTGGGCATAGGGTTGGCGAGACGATGCGCGATGGTAGAGATTGTACTAACCCAAGAACAGTTAACCTAATAGGACTGCTCATTCAGCCAAAAGTGTCCGCTAGGTGCATGCGAAAACTACTCGCTTTGTGACGTCATTGTAGCCCTTGTCATGGTTATTAGTCCTTATCCGGCAACCAATAATACACACACGTGCATTATTGGTTACCGAATGCAAAACGTTCATTATTTAGTTTATTTATTTAAACACCTTATATGTATGCAGTATAGAAAGTTAACTGTATAAATCGTATTAAATACTCGGATAATGCATTTTTAAGAACAGCAGGTCCCAGCATCACCTTTTGCAAGCATTCTTGTTAGAGTACTTCCATATTTTGCTCTAAAATAATTAATAAACAAAATCGTGGGCACTTAGTATGCACTTTGTCACAATCTACAATACAAAATGAACGTATTTATACACTCTATAGCTCTAAAAACTTTAAAGACACCTTTTTCACATTTAAAATTGACAAAATAATTAACTCAAAATTTCTCAGCTGTTATTTTTATAACTTTACCATAGGCAACTAATAATACACACTATCATGACAAGGCCACGAAGGCTTTGACAAGGGCTACAATGACGTCACAACTGTCAGCTGAAGCGCGGGAAGAGGCGAACGTACGTCTTGGAGGATGAGCAATAGAGCAATCCTATTAGTTTACCGTTCTTGGTACTAACCTTTAGGACTCTAAACGAAACTTGTGCGCGTTGTCTTAAACCTATATTTTTATCTTAATTGATAATACATTAAAAATGTGCGCCGATGAGTAGCTGCTCTCATGTCAACGTGCTGTCGCTTAAAGTAATTAATTTAATTATTATACTTATGCCAAAGTCATTCTGATATGTACGGAGGAAATGTCGAAAGTTTAATTACCTTTGATTATTATTACATTTTTTTATAGAGAAGGTTTATTCATAAGTTGAGTTTTAATAACTTGGGCTTAATTTACAAGTCCATTTATTCCATACAAAATAAATACTAACGGTACAGTATATAAAAATATACATTCCAATTTACTAGACGTCACATATTCATATTATTTTCAATACACATTAATTAATAAATAACAGTAAAATCATTTGGCAAAATGTTTCGATCTATTCCATTGATTTGATGGCTGATTCCATGATCTATTCCTTTGTTGCTAAGGAACTCCTAAAAATAAGTAATAAATTATAAACCAGTATATATAAATATGTTTTGCTCACTAACTTGCAATAATGTAATACAAGTTATATTGAAATAGTAATTTATTTTTTATTACAAGTTTCTTCTATTTTAACTATATTAAGTGTATCGATCATTTGATAGATTACAGAGAGTTAGAGTTGTTTTTTTCCTTATGAGAAAGTAGAAACATGGCAATATCCAGTTCCAATGAGTACTGCAATCAGTTCTATTAGGGCCATTAGAACTCGAAATAAAATTCAATTAACATTGTTGGAGAATTTGTTTCGCCTTGTCAAACAAAACTTGTTAGGGTACGAACACAAAGACTTCTGGTTATAAGCGCTTATTGCCAGCGCCGAAAACCAGCGCCTACAAGAGTACACAATGAACGTAAAAAGTAAGCGCCAATAATAATTAAATGCGCTTTAAACACCATCCGCACACATAAAAAAACTTCTAAATTCTTGGTCGCTTGTTGTCTGTACTGGGTGTGCCTATTGTGAGTTCCAACGCTGGGTTTCAACGCTGGTTCTTTGTGCTGGCCCTGGCTGAAGAATACCCTACGCTGGTGCTGGTTTTCAGCGCTGATTAAGCAACTTTCTTTGTATGCGTACCTTTAGGTACCGATCCTGGAGGCGAATTTCAACCACTTTATATGGTTATTAACGCAACTGGTTAATTAAAAGTTTTTTGGAATCAAATTTAGGTACAAATCGGATTGTTTAAATTTAAGGTTATCTTTCTATTTTTTAAGCACAAATGCATTATTTTTATATATATTTCATAAATTTATTTAAAAAAATATTTTATTCTCCTTAAAATTTTACTATTATAGGGGGCGTCAAAAAAATAGTGTATCTAACTTCGGCGGATGATTCTACAGATAAAAGTAAAACAAAAAGTTTCTATGAACAAATATAGGTATTAAAATGAAAGTTCGTAAAATGGAGGTCCGTCAAATGGTCCGTCCCGAAGGGGTTAAACTATACCAAAATTAACTTACCCTTTTTATATAAAGTTGTATTAAGAAGCAAATTTGATTTGTCACTTTTCAAGCGTTGTTTTCCAAACTGGGAAATGGCTTGTAGTTGCAAAAAATATTCAGAGTTTGCACTCAAATTCTTTAACAGGAATGTTTTCTGCTCCTAAAATGATAAAAGTTAAGTTATTCCTTCGCATAAAATATGCATTGTTAATATTTTATTATACATACAGGGTGAGTCTTAAATATGTGCAAATATTTTTAGGGCTGGTATAGATCTCGACAAAAGAAACATATTTTCTCTTTACTATTTTTCAAGTCCCAAATAATCTAGTTATTTAAGTTGTGAAAAAAAATTGAGAGCCACCGGATTTTTTCTGTATTTGCATACCTTTTATTGCCGTAACCATAGAGTAAAGCCGTAACTATTGTAATATCAGAGATTAAGAAATTAGACCGTGGGAAAATTTGCGGTGAACAGGTAGTTCTAAAAAGTTTTCGAAAAATATGCAGGGAAATTTAAAAGAAAATGCACGATTTTCAACATCCTTTTTTAGCGAAAAAAAACCTCATAGACGTGTTCCTGAGGTCGAAATATACAACCCCTGAAAATATTTGCACTTATTTAAGACTCACCCTGTATTAAAAAAATATAACTAATTGTATTTTTCATTTTACATTAAATATATTATTATATTAACTTGAATTGTTACTCAATTTTACTTATAATCATTGGGACAAGCAATACATTTTAATATCTTAGATTCTTTCAATTTTGTTAACATGGTAAATGGTTTAAAACTTCCAATTTACGTTTCGATATCTTTGGACGTGGTCTCCCTGTTTACAAATATTCTTTTGAAGAAATTGGTGATAGAAATAATTAATAAAAATTGGCTAACAATGGAACAACACACATCAACATCAAAGGACAATTTTCTACCATTAATTAGATTCTTAAGCTTATTTTTCGTTTAACAATAGTTTTTGTAAAACAAGTTTTTGGTACACCAAGGGGTTCGCCAATTAGTCCAAACCAACTTATACCAACCAACTGTATATAAAATCAACAGTATCTATTTATAGTGCTCATTTTATACTTTATTTTCTTTAAATCTGGATATCGACCATGGGTCTAATTTCGCACTCTTTATTTTTATATACCTAACTTTAACAATTTAATCAATTTTATCAAAGAAACCCCAACAGAATATTAGGGATATTGCTGAGTATTTTCTTTTCAGATGTCTAAATATCCATTAATATCTAAGAATAGCCTATTGTCTGATGCTGTATAACATATAATGAATATGTCACTTGATATGTTCTGAAATACAAAATACTTTATGATTCCAAAAACACCCTCCCATATATATAAAAGAATGGTTACAAAGAGCGAGGTACAGTTTTCCTTTTTGGCGTAAAACGACGGATCTAGAGCCGTAGTTGTGGTTGTGAATAGGCATCAGTGTAAAATTAGTATCTTATTATGGTTATAGTCGATAAGGTAAGGTTTTAAAAGAGTTTAAATGAAAGTTTGTTGTTGTTGATAATATGCAGGGTGTCAAAAATAGTGTATATTAATTTCGGCGGGTAATTCTACAGATAAAAATAAAACAAAAAGTTCCTATGAACATATGAGCTAAAATGTTTCCCGAAGAAGTTACAGCCCTCGAAAGGTTAAATAAAAATATTTTATTTTGTTGATTTTTAAAAACATCGGTAAACTGTTTTTCTTGAAATTTGCTACTCTTACACACATTTTAATGCCAAAGCGAATGACGATAGTGTAACATTCCGTAACAGCCCTGAAAGGGTACTACTTTCCATTAGGGTACATTACACCATTAGGTCTACAGGCAGTATACTTCTTTTATCCTTATAGATAGAGTATTTTCGATAACAATATAGATAAAAATTAAAGCTAGGACTTTTTTTTATGCAAAAAAGGTGCTCCTCGTTTAGTTCGAAACAGTGAAGGGTTTTCAAGCTGTATGCGTTGAAAGGTTTCGAGGCATCGATTTTAGCATTAGCAAAACCAGGAGATTCATTTATTTAAATTTACATTTTATCACATTTAATTAAAATGTAAAGTAAAAAAACCAGCCTTATACCTTCGGGTAGAAAGGTTTTTGGTTATATTTTATATACCTATTTTTTATATTTTATCATTTCACTAATGCTAAAACCGATGCTTCGTAATCTTGAAAACCGTTCACCTTTTCGAACTAAACGAAGATCGAATTTTTTACGTAAAAAAGTTCTAGCTGTTTATATCATTTGTTGAAATTACTGTATCTATAAGGATAAAAGAAGTACCATCAGTGGTACCTAACCCTAATGGAAAGTACCATTACGGAATTTTTCAAAAGTCGCCATTCGTTTGGCAATAAAATGTGTGTAAAAGTACAAAATTTCAGTAGAAACGGTTTATCAATATTTCTAAAATAAACAAAATATACTATTTTTATTTAACCTTTCGAAGGCTGTAACTTCTTCGGGAAACATTTTATGCATGATTATTATTTTTATATGTAGAATCACGCACCAAAGTAAGATCACTATTTTTTTGACACATTGTATAAATATGAAACTATAACTGTTCAAACAATGTGTTCTTGTATAATATAAAATAAAGTTAATTAGTTATAACAACATTTTAACAATTTATGAAAATAACTAACATATAATAATAATGATTTAATAAAATCATACAGTTCATAGTAATCAATATACCGGGTGCGTCTCACAAGTGGCTCACCCCTACAGCTTTTTTATTTTTTCAGATACGAGATATGGTATGTTAGTATATGACATAAATTAGGATTGATTGACGTATTCAATTGTTTTTGGTCACTTCCTGTTTCACCGGAAATGACTACAACTTTTGATTTTTAAATCGCACCCTCGGTAGAAAATGACATTCTGAATAGAATGACATATCATATGTCAACTTTTTACACTCTTGCTTAACAAAAAATCGTATTTTAAAATTCAATATAGAGTGCTATGATATGGTTATGTTAAAAACACTAATTCTTAATCAAGGCTTGGAAAAATATATTTGATTGTCTAATGTAGTTAGTGTCTTGTCCTGGCCAGTTAGAAAATGCTCAAATCGTATTTTTAATCATATCTCATTTTTTTTAAATGGGACGAGGGTGGCTCATTACCATCTTTGGAAAAAGCATTTTTTTACGAATAATTTGACACTACAAACTTGGTATTTCAAATTTTTGTTACGATACCGCAAGTTATAATTTCAAATAAACCATATCCGAAAATGTCAAAAGCTGATATATGATATGTCATTCTATTCAAAAAAAAATACCGAGGGTGCTATGCATTTAAAAATCAAAAATTGTAGTCATTTCTGGTCAAACAGGAAGTGACCGAAAACAATTGAATACGTCAATCAATCCTAATTTATGTCATATACTAACATACCAAATTTTTTAACTGAAAAAAATAAAAAAGTTATAGGAGTGAGCCATTTTTGAGACGCACCCGGTATATGTTGTTAAATTGTATTTTTTAGGTAGTAACATTTAGATCGTTTCTTTCTGTATTTTATAAATCATCTTTTTAGATATATCATGTTGTATATTTCACTCTGTTAATGAACAGCAAAATGACATGTTCAATGTCCTGGAATGAAGAAAATAAAATACAGGAACTGAACGAAAAAGAATCTACACATGCAACAAAATGTCCAGAAGAATTTGAGGATTATTGTAACGTGGATTTTAATAACGAAAGATTTCAAAATGCACTTTCTAAAAAAATATTATCCAAGAGTATCCCCGTAGTATGTTTCCTGTATTCATGTTTATGTTGTAAAAATATAAATTAGTAAATTTTAGGGTGCCAAAGAGAAAAGACTTTCCGAATTTTTTGAATCTATGAACACCGGATTATGTCAGTGTAGAATGGGTTTTCGTCTTATGGATCTAGGAAATGAGATTTATCCAAGGTAATAGAATACTGGCGTTGATTGAAAGAATTGGGAAGATACGCAACCTAATGGGCAAATTCTGGCAAGGCTGATTTGATTTCCCCTTACGTCTCAAGTGCTGTACGGTGGAGACACCAATCGTTCTGCGGTCAACGCATAAAACACTTATTTCTCTAATTCGGCTAGCGAAGGCATATCGCAGACGGTGTGAAACTGAAAGCGACAGTGTTGCCATATTAAAATGTGTAATATCTGTAATTCGTCTGACGAAAATATTTTTGGATGAAAAAACCGCTTTATTTTATATCAAACTGTCAAACATATCAAAATAAAAATTCTTGTATAGGTACTGAAATGTCGCATGATCGAAAAAGTCGTTTAGTTGGCTTGGAAATGACGATTATTAATATTTACAATAATATCTTACGTGAAATGGCGTTCGCAGGTTTAGGACCAGGAAATACAGAACCCTTTATTTAAAAAATTGCCGACTTTTTGACAAGTGTTTTCGTCTTTATCAAGGCTATAAAAAAATGAAAATAGCCTTGATAAGATGAAAATACACGTCGAAAAGTTGGCAATTTTTTAAATAAAGGGTTGTTTATTTCCTGATCCTAAACTGCGAACGTCATTTTATCTATAACATAAGGACGCAAATCTACCACATCCTATTTTACATATGAAATAACAGCGATCTTCATTTTCAAGCCAACTCCTACGCCGTTCTTTGTTTATATTAAATATTGTTTAATGATAAAAAAAAATCCGTATTATTAATGTACTGTACACAAAGTCTGCATATCTACGGATTAATCAGTAGTTCTGGCAACATTGTCTCCGGAAACCACTCACTCTGTCGACTGAAACCAAAACGTACAGTATTCTTTATCCGCTGCGCTGTAAACGACTATCAGAGCGCAGCGGCGCGGCGCGGCGCGGCGCAGAGATAAACCAGTTAAACTAAATCTCGGACAGGCTGACGATAATGCCAGCTACATCTCGGACAGGTTTTGTGCCACGAAATCGCCCATAAGGTTGCGAATTTTGTTATTTCTTCAATCAACGCTTCTAGCCAGTCATTAGCGTACGATTTCACAGTTCTTGGTTAGAAGCAGTTTGTGACTCTAAAGCTCATTCAGAACCTAAAACTTAGTGGAATAAATCAATGGTCTCAATTAGCGTCGAAGTTTGTTCCTCTAATATCAATG